CCATTATGAGTTTTTGCTTCCAGTTATTTGCAAGATTTTCTCTTTTAAATGGTTTCGATAAAATGTTATGGTCAGTTTTTAAGGTTTTGGAGTAGATTTGTAGCTCAGGTTGTGGGTGTTGAGGTTGGTTAGCTCACCGAGCTGGTTTGTTGTTCCGCAGATGATTCATTACCGTGTTGGATAACATCATCAGTGCAGCCTCCGATGAAGCATCAGTGTTTTTAAACTCTGGAGTCCGTTGAGCTGGATTGCCTCACTTCCGGTTTTCCTTCATAGTGGAGTGTATATGGGGTCGAGTTCTATGTGTTTATTAATGGCTTTCTTCATGGAGTGCCAGACTTCTAGGAATTCCCGCGCCTGTCTCTGCTTAGCTTGTCCCAGCATTGTGATGTTGTCCCAGTCGAATTGGTGGTTCTCCTTATCCATGTGGATTGAGGTGAGTGAGTATTGGTCGTGTCTTTTTGTAGCCAGTTGGTGTTCGTGTCCCCTTGTTGTTAGTTTCCTTCCTGTTTGTCCAATGTATTGTTTCTCACAGTCTCTGCAGGGGATTTTATAGATGACATTGTTCCTGTCCATGGCAGGGAGTGGGTCTTTAGTTCGGGTGAGCAGTTGCCTTAGGGTTGATGTGGGCTTGTGTGCCACTCTGATGCCCAGCGGTCGTAGGAGTCTTGTGGTTAGTTCCGACGTGCTCCTGATGTAGGGTAGTGTGATGAGTGGGGGCGTGTAGTATCTTCCTGATGTTGATCAGTTTTTGTTTTATAATAAAGAAGGCATATGTCAAGTTTGATTTGGGAATAAAATAATGTAATTTATGTAGTAAAAGCCATCTAATTTTACCACATAGTTTAAAGTCTGTCAAAAGACACAGCTCTAAAGTTAAGTGAAAGTAAAGCATTATTTGAAAACAATAATCAGGAAGTGACAAAGTGGGTCCATATTGAAATTGAAACTGCATATTAAATTCCTGCATACTTAGGAACTGAATTGTCAAAAACAACATCATAATGCTAACCCAATCAGTGAATATTTTACAAAGCACCATCTTAGAATTTTTAACAATATTAGTACATAAATGCTGAATGGACTTGTATGCTAATACTGTATGTGTTTTAATAGATGCCTCTCCAAAGAGGATAGCATGAGAACTTTTATTTTGGACACAGATTTGCACTTCTAAATTCACCAGAAATTTCTACTAATTAAATGGATGAAACTTTCTGTACTGTTGGAGACATAGGAACAAAATCATTTTGTAACAAGATTCTTATGTGCCCTAATTTAACAAGGCAAATTAACTTTGGTCTGGCATAAACCTTAATGCTTGTTCATAACATAAATAAGAACCTGAGGACATTATCAGCTGTAGGAACAGGAACCTCAAATATCGCAGGCATGATTTGAAATACTTAGCACATTACTTCTCGTCAGGTATGTAACTACATTTCGTAGCCCCAGCATGAGCAATTAAAAATCTTAATTTGGATATTATAATTCACCATTATTCAAAATTATAGATGGTCTGACACAACGGTACCCACCAAGTGATGTTTTTAGCTCATGTTTATAAAAAGTCACATCATTTGTATGATTTATAGCCTTCAGGTCAGTGCACGGAAGACAATACCTATGCTATTTTGAATAGTAAAATACGTCAAGAACAAGCTAAACAATATATATTTTGGGTTTTCAGTCATTCAGCAGCTTTAAATTGCACTGTAACTGCACTGAAAGAGAATTGATGTAATTTTGTTTTTTTTTTGACAATGTGTATGTTGGCTACATGCTTGTTAAAATGTCAGACTGTCCCTGCCTTCATAGTATTTACACCAAGATGCAAAGTCTATTGGTTCATGGTTAAATATCTCAAATGAGAATATCATGGGATGTTGCTGACACTGAGGAAATAAAAATGATCAATGTTCATGGCAAAGTGACCTTGTTTGTTGTGGAGCAGAGTCTGTCTGAAATCTGTTTATTTATTTTTCTCCACACAGCCAAAGGAACTAAGACTTACTAACTCAATGTGTGTAGCAGGTTTAATAATCACCAAGATTGACTGACAATCACTTTACAATTTCCAGCAACAAAAGGACAAGTTAAAAATTCAATACAGAAAAATATGCCTGCCACAACTATATTCTTGCATATAGGATAATTCAAACAGATAATTATATAGTGAGGAGCTCCATACCCATGTAAGTAATATTGTGATGGAGGTACCACTGAAGAGTTTTCACAAAGGTTAAAATTACACAATTATACTTAAGCAGATCATCAGAAAATGTTGGTTTGCACCTGTCATTCACAGGATGAAGATGTCACTGGCTGGGCCAGTATTTATTATTCATCCCTAATTGCCCAGAGGTCAGTTAAGATTCAACCACATTGCTGTGGGTCTGGAGTCACATGCAGGCCAGACTAGGTAAGGATGGCACTTTCCTTCCCTAAAGGACATTCGTGAGCCAGATGGGTGTTTTTTCGACAATTGGCAATGGTGCATGGTCATCATTAGACTTTTAATTCCAGATATTTATTGAATTCAAATTCCACCATCGGCGGTGGTGGGATTCAAACCTGGGGCCCCAGAATATTACCTGGGTCTCTGGATTAATAGTCCAGCAATAATGCCATTAAGCCATTTTGTGTGGAATGCTTGTTTTAAACTCAAACATTGTGGTACGATTCCCATTCAGTGAATTGAGTTAAAATTACCTCTGTGTCAGTGATAGAGATCTGTGAGCTTCTTGCAATTGTTGGAAAGAATTGAAAAGAGTAGTTTAAGGAATGGTTTATTCACAGCCTCAAATCATCTCCACCATAAATGTCATCTACTGTCATCTCAGCAGTATTACTTGCTTCCATCCTTGTCTCAGCCCATCCACTGCTGCAACCTTCATCTTTTTTTCTATTCATTTGTGGGATGTGGGCTTTGCTGGCTGGCCAGCATTTCTTGCCCATCCCTAGTTGCCCTTGAGAAGGTGGTGGTGAACTGCAGTCCTCCTGCAGTGGGTTGACCCACAATGCTGTTAGGGAGGGAATTCCAGGATTTTGACCTAGCGACAGTGAAGGAACAGTCGTATATTTCCAAGTCAGGAAGGTGATTGATTTGGAGGGGAGCTTGGAGGTGGTAGTGTTCCCATATGTCTGATGCCCTTGTCCTTCTAGATGGAAGTGGTCATGGTCTATATATTTATAAACCCAAACTCACTTTCCATAACCGATCTTTCACTCTCCGTGAACACAACTGCACCCAAAAGTCTTTGCCACTATCTTAATTCACCCAAGCTGAGGGAAGATTTAATTGACATCTACAAAGTTATGAGTGGCCTAGATAATGTGGAATGAGAGACCTATTTCTATTGGCAAAAAATGTCAACAACCAGGAAACACTAATTATTAAAAGGGTTAGAGGGACGTTCAGGAGTAATTTCACCAGGAGTGTGTTGGGAGTCTGGAACTTACTGCTTAAAAGAGAGTATAGAGATAAAACCTTCACTACATTATAAAAAATACATTTGGATATGCACCTAAGATAACATAATCTACAAGGACATGGTCAAGAGCTGGCCAGTGAGATTAAGCTGGATAATTATTTCTCAGCCAGCACAAGTACAATGGGCTGATTCACGCACAGAAAGTGGCCAATCTTTCAGTTTTTCCACAGTTCTATGAGGATTCCACCTGTGGCTCCATCAAGTTCCTGGCAGGAAGTAAGGAAATTCAGGGCTGTGGCAAGCTTATTAGCTACTGTCAACTTGTGGCTACCTGCTTTGTTTGGGAAGAGGTCTAGCTCCAGAAGGTTGCTGCCCCCTGACAAAACCTACTGCAAAGACGTGAACCTTCAGAGAAACCAACACACTGTCATGCATGGGAGGATCATCTGTAGCCTGCATACTATATGTGAGAGGATTACCTCCTTCAAGCCAGAGCTTGCTGGCCATTCCCTTTATCCTGTTCAGCATGACATGGCTGCAGAGAAGGAAACTCTTGGTGGTGGAGAGGTTGGGATTTCCATTGTTCCTTTTCTGAGGGCCAGGTTAACACATTGCTGCACGGGAGAAATCCATGAAGGCTGACAGCAAGGAAGTTGAGATGCAATTGAACATGCGGCAAAATATTTGTAACTTCAGAAAGTTGCGATTAATTCTTAAACTAGTAATCTCAGTCTGATTGAAATCATCGTGAAAGTAGATGCCTACCACTGATTATGACCAATTACTGATTGCTGTGGACTGTCTTCTAGTTCACTAATGCCCTTTAGGGAAGGAAATTTACTGTCCTTACCTGCTCTGGATTAAAGTGACACCAGGCCGATAACTGTTCACTCAACATTGAAATGGCTTAGTGTCTCAATTCCAGCATCAACCAAGGGTGGAAATATATTGAGGCTCCTCCAGCGATACCCAAATGCCATGAAAGAATAAAGAAAAGACATTATGGGGTGGCACAGTGGTTCAGTGGTTAGCACTGCTACCTCACAGCTCCAGGGACCTGGGTTTGATTCCACCTTCAGGTGACTCTCTGTGAGGAGTTTTCACATTCTCCCCATATCTGGGTGGGTTTCCTCCGGGTGCTCCGGTTTTCCCCACAGTCCAAAGATGTGCACGTTAGATGATTGGCTGTGCTACATTGCCCATAGTGTTCAGGGATGTGTAAGTTAGGTGGGTTAGCCATAGGAAATGCAGGGTTACATGGAAAGGGTAGGGGGATGGGCCTGGGTGGGATACTCTGGTTGGGCTGAATGGCCTGTTTCCACACTGTAGGGATTCTATGATTCTACGAAGTAGCCTGAGGAGTTCCCCAGAGCAAACACCAGAGGAAAGGAGAGTGAAGTGTCATGACTGGGTCAAAAGGGGTGGGGGTGGTATACAGTACGCAAGTGACTACAATGGTCTGAAAGAGTAAAAGGGAAATTGTAGTAATGGGTTCAGTTCTGAACAGGCTGCCAAAGCACACAGATGTGAAGAATTGGGGTTATATAGGGAAGGGTATTAACTGCTGATCCAGCCGGTGACACCCATATCCAATAAATGGTTAATAACAAAAACACATGACAATGAATAAGCTAATTATTCCATGACTGAAAACAAAGGACAGAGCATTATGATACACACACTCTACAGCTGGAGTAAGAAGCCATGTAGTGGAAGGAAGACAATTTGTAGACTGTGTGAAATCAGCATTTAGCATCCATAAAACAATGTTCAGGTTTGGACTCAGCTGTGGAAAGGCAGTGAATACAAAGGTTTATCAAGGGATAAAGTATGAGGAATGGCACAGGCGGAGAATGCCCAGTGATCTCAGAGAGTGGGCGAGGGTCAGAGTTAATCAGAAGCCAGACATTGTTTCTTTTACCCAGGAGGTGTGCAGTGGTCTCAGATGCTAGAAATGTGCATTCCAAATCCAGTGACCAGCAGCGTTATGAGCAGTGAAGACTAGCCAAGGCAAGGTAAATTTGAAATGAGGGCATGCCAATGAGAGAGCTGGCCTTGTGGTAGAAGTTTGCTCTCTTATTGACTAAGTTTTATGTTATCCTGTACCTTTGAACCTTAAATACTTTCTACTTTCCTCTCATATTTGCTTTGCTGACAATCATTATTTGGTCGATAATTTATTGAAATTTCTGCTGCAATGCTTTCTTCCTTCAGATAAAATGTTGATAAGATGTTGATGTTTTCAGTGCTGTACGATATGTGCATACAGTTTCTACATTGATCCGTTAGAGCAGACACCTGTATAAAAGCTTCTCAACAGCATTGTTCTGTGAACAAGATCAAGATGGCCAAAATTCTTCTGTGGGCTGGTAAGGGCAATACTTAGCTACTACGCCTAACTATTTCTCAACTGTAATTTATAAATAGAACTATATTTCATGACAAAGTAAATTAATATTAAATTATGACTTTTACACAATTTAATATCCAAAGGCAAACTAAAGTGTTTAAATTTATTTAGAATTTATATACTTCAATAAATGCTGCAATGTCAATTTTGTTTTCCTTTTTATTTTAGTGGGATTTGTGCTGCTGTTAGAAGTGTACAGCGGTAAGCAGCAACAGATTTTAACCTTTCATTGCCATTAAATATTAAATTGACAGCTGTATTTTATGTTCCCACAGTTAGCTTAATTTTTAAAAATCATAATCTGTAAATTTCTGAGCATTGTCATCAATACGTTTTCAAGCTTAAATTCAAAGTTCATGAATAGTGCAGGCAATTTGTTTTCCCTTACTATGTTATTCTGCTCAGAAACTGTTAGTTCTGTTGTCTCTGGGAAGTTTCTGCATGAAGGAGCACTCAATTTCTAAATGTAATTACACTTGCTATATACTGACATTTGTAGTGATATTTGTGTCACAAAAGATTATTTAAAAAGTAATTTCAATACACTCTGACAAAACTCAATCGGTTGGGCTGTAAATTCTTTCAAAATTTTTCTTGAGTTCTGAGGAAACTCTGCATGTATGGAAAGGCAAGGTTATCAACACACATTACAATGCTGGAAATAAATCTATCATAATATAGCCTCATTAATATCATGAAAAATACATAGCTTAAATATTATTTCATTTTTCAAGTTTGGAAAAGAAAGTAACAATAATACAAAATTTCAGATTCATGGAATATGTGTACTTGTGTTCTCATAAATGGTTCTTACTATTCAAGCATGTAAGTTTTGCTTATGTCACTATTCCAACTATCCCATAATGATTTGAAGATTACTGATATCACCAGTAAATAATACACTAAAATGTATCATTTTGGGATGATTTGTTAATCTAACACCAATTGTTTGTCATGGTATTTTCTGTTTAAAATCAGAGACACCCAAAGATGAATGTTCAGGTCAAACAGAAACTCCTTATCTATACAGTTTTAAAACAGGGCTGTTAATTGCATGCCACTGTGTAGTATTTTCCCCCATCACTGAAGCCAAGAAGGAATCTAAATTGTTAGTTGTGGCTCAGTTGGTAGTGCTCAAGTCCTCAAGGTTAAGGGTTCAAGTATCACTCCATGCTGATACAACCATGCAGCACCAAGGGAGTGCTAAATTATCAGTGGTGACAGCTTTTGGATGAGACATTCATCTGAGGCCCACTCTTCCCTTTCAGTGGATGTTGTTGGTTTTATGATCCTGGAGCAACCTTGCAATTATGTCACAGAGATGCACCTCATTGGGTATAAAGAGTACAATGTGAGTGGAATCAGATAACAAGATAGAAACTGATGCAGAGAACCATGTGGAGTGATCAATTAGCATTAGGCAATTGGAGCTAATGGGACTGTATTTCAACAGTAAGATTAGAGCTTGGTACATCTCTGATTACTGTTTATTGTAGTTTTTAGTCTTAACGTACAATAAACAGTGCTATAAAAATGCCCGAAGCTGAAGCCGATTCTTGACCTTGCCATCTCTTCAATAGGTCTGTCCTGAACCCAGACTCATGTGGGAATAAAACCACACCAGATAAGAGACATAAAAGATCCCATGACACTAGTTTGAAGCAGTCCAAGAGGATATTCACAGTCTCCAGGCCAATACTTATCCTCTAATTACTATCACAAAAAAATCTGATCATTACACCTTCTCCCATGTCCTTACCCCAACTCATCACATGGGCTGCCACTACAAACAATATTTTCAGCCACTAATGGTCCCATTAGCAGCTATTGATTCTCTAACGGCTGACCATTACCCATTCCTTTGTCTGCCCAACTATTTTATTCTATCTCTGGGCTCCATTTCAAACTATCGCTTACTCCTCATCCCTCATCACCCCCACCCCATTTTCAGCAATACATACCAACATTTCCTCACTAAAATCAGTTCTGAAGAAAGATCACTGAACATTTCGTGTCCACAGATGCTGGAAGACCTGTTGATTTTTTCCAGCAATTTCTATTTTTATTTCTGATCATCTTATATTGTGTTTTGCTGTGAAAATTAATGCCAGGTTTCTGACATCACAACAGTGACTACACTTTAAAAGTATTTCATTGGCTGCAAGGTGCCTTGGAATGTTTTGTGCTCACTAAAGGTGCTATGTAAATTCAAGTCATTCTATATTGTTATAAAGTCGAGGTCGACCCACTCCCCCCCTCCCATAACTAAACCGAAACATCCAGAAAGGCTTGCATCGCCCTATAATCTATTAAAAGAAGTGCAAAAAGTGGTCTAACCTGCCTTTCACCACCCAATATGTTATAAAGGATTGGTTAAATGAAATAAATTCCAGAGACTCACTCTATAATCAACAAGTAACAATTTATTTATCTAGCTCTAACAGTGAACAAATTAACTGAACTGTTAACAAACCAAACAATTCCCTTCTAGCTATCAGCAATTCCTGAATAAAACACGCTTCTAATGGTATGCTGTTCCAATAAATACAAGTCCCACATATATAAACCAAAAAAAAATTAGAACTTAGTCTCTCGAAATTACTGCCAGGTTACGTCTTCCAGAATGTTCTGTGCCTTCTCTGCTGATCTTCAGTCAGGAATGCACTGACCTTTGAATTCTTGTGTCAGGAATATTAACTAGGAGTGCCAATGTACCATCAGTTAGATGACAGTTACTCTGAGAGCTTAGAGAATTCTGTGAGAGCCAGTGATTTTCTCTTTAGAGCTGATGGTTGTTAAGTCTATCAGATGGCAGTTGCTCTCACATTGCTTTTTAAATGCCCTCTTGTTTTATACCCTTGATGACATATCAATTTCTTACAGTAAGATTGGTCCTATGATGTCAAAACTATTAGATTTAATGTGCACCTGTAACCCACAAGCTGCCCACAGACATTTTTTTAAATCTCTAAGCACAGAAAAAAACATGTCATCTTTCAAAGAGGACACACACTGCATTCTCCCCTATCTTTTTACAAACATCAAATTCTAAAAAAAACCAGAAGAACTGCGGATGCTGTAAATCAGGAACAAAAACAAAGTTGCTGGAAAAGCTCAACAGGGCTGGCAGCATCTGTGAAGGAGAAAACAGAGTTAACGTTTTGGGTCCAGTTCTGAGGAAGGGTCACCGAACCCAAAACGTTAACTCTGTTTTCTCCTTCACAGATGCTTCCTGACCTGCTGAGCTTTTCCAGCAACTTTGTTTTTGATCAAATTCTAACATCCTGCCTTCCAATCCACAAATACTCTACCCAACATTGCAACAACATAAACATGACATTAAGCTATTTTTTGATCTTTAAAGGTGTCATTTTCACTTCAAGTGTTTATACTTCCAAGTCATCTTTTTGAAATATAAATTCTAATTATAGAAATAAGCAACTAATAACATTTTCTACCACAGTTCTAGGCCAGGACTACAAGTTGGTTTGTTACTACACAAACTGGGCCCATAAAAGAAGAGACTGTAAGTTCTTACCAGAAGACATTAACCCCAGGTTATGTACACATCTCATTTTTGCTTTTGCTGTTATTGGCAATAACCATCAAATCGTTGCTCAGGAAAAGGAAGATGAAGATCTTTACATCTCATTTAACAGTCTTAAAAAGCGGTGAGTTTATTTTGGTTCAAATATCTCTGAAGTGCTTTTTTAAACATAATTTTGCATTCCATCATAAAGGTTCTTCATAAAACATTATCAGAGTAATGAAATCATACTCTTCAAAATGGGAAATCAGTTTTGGAAAATCATACATGTGAATATCACCAGTTTAAAATTAAATTTGCTTAAGATTTACTGCACTATACAGAAATGAATCTAAAATAATTAGAAGAAATTACTCCATAGAAATTTTTTTATAGTATCCATCATGATAATCCAGCTATGCAGATTTCAACTCTCACAGAAATAAATTACAATGATGCCAAATACAATATATTTCCACAGTTCAAACACTACTCAATTAAACCATGGTCTTTATACAGGCTAAATTATACATTTTAATTTTAATCTCTCAGTTTTACTGTATTGGTGTGCTGCTAATTTAGGAAATATTGCAATTGTTGCTGTCAGTCAGATCTTTCTTTAAGCCTGATATATTTTTGTTTGAATAAATACAACACAAAATTCTAGATATACCCTGCAGATCTGGCAGCATTTGGGGACAGAGAAACAGAGGGCAGAATACTCACTTAGTATTTTGTTGAGTGAGCTCCATAGTGTCTGATCCACCATGGCTCATAGTCACCTTTCTCACACAATCTTCCTGCTTCCCCTCATTATGTAGTCAACAGGGCTTTTGGCAATCACATGGTGGGAGAGGCAGAAGAGCCCTTCACTGCTGGAATCTTCTTGCATCCTTGCCACCAGAACCACATTTAAAGCCCAGCCAAACCACTTCAGATGCTGCAGGCAAGGAATAATCCCGCACAGTCTGTTCTGCCATTCAATAGGATTGTGGCTGATCTGATCATCCAACACTTTCATGCTACATTGCAGGAGTAACATTCTGCCAGTAAGCTAAAAAGACAGCCCCCACCTCCCTATTCCCCCAAAGAGAAGGTTACATTCTGCGTAATTGCATACTTACAGTTCAGGGTACTAATATGACAGATGTGAAGTAGCTTGTATTCCAGAGCTGATTATGGAGTTTTTGTTTTTAAATTTTGTTCATGGGATGTGGGCAACACTGACTCAGTCAACATTTATTGCCCAAATGGCAGTCAACCAAATTGCTGTGGTTCTGGAGTCAGACTATGTAAGGTTGGCAGAGCTGGTAGGCTTTTATGACATTGAAAGTGAATACAAGTTGCTTTTAGACCATCTCTTTATTCCAGTTGTTTATTGAAGTCAAATTTCACCACCTGCCATGGTTGGATTTGAACCCATATCCCCAGAACATGAGCCTTGAGTTCAGACTGGCAACTTCAAAATCTCACCATTGAGCATATATTTCCATGCATTTGAATCTCATTAAAGCACCAACTCTCTTCATTTATGCACCATTTCTGATACTCTCCCCTTTCACGAATAAACTAGATGACACAAATTACAGACAATTAAATTAGAGCTAAAATTAAATTAAAATAAAATACCCAGCAGCTGCAGGTCTCTGGATATTTCTCCTAGCCACAACAACATCCATGCTTCATAATGCCTTGACACTTCACCTCCGTAAGTCAGCAGCAGCAAACCACCAGCTTCATATCATCACACCTGCTCCTGGACCAACCCAGACACTACTTCAGCCCTTTACTTCAAAGTAAACATAACTTTCTGACAAGTTACTTGGCTCACTGGGGCACATGCAGCTTTTGTATCGACAAAGGATGTTTCATACTTTTCTCAACTGTCACTGGTCTTCTACTTACTTGGAGATTGCCAGCTTCTGTGTTGTACACATTGCTTTCTTAGCACGCAGGCTCAGTTACAATGTGCCAGTCTCTGTGGTTGATGTTGCTTTGTTGTGTTGGGGGAGACAGCTTGTCATGATGAGGAACACTGAACAGTCAGGAGACTGGACATATCACAGTACAGCACCATGCCACATCAATGTTACAACTGCAGCATTTGGCGAACACACTTCATGTGTCTCGGGCAAACAGTCATATGTAAAAAGTCAGAGGTCAGCAGTCCTTAGTGAGCTGAAGGGGGACCATTGTCAGTCAGGGGTACTATCACAGCCAATCAACCAGCTTATCCTACTCCAGTCCAGTTCATGGCCACAGTCAGTCAGGTACTTGGTCCCACCAGAAATTGGGAATCCTTGTCCTTGTAGAGAGAGGATTAGAAAAGTCAGTCCTGCAGGTAATGTTCAAACAGTCCAGAGATTATGGGCAGTTCAACTATCTCTGGACATCAGATTTCATCTAAGAAAAATTAACAAACAGGGAAATTCACAGCTGACCTTGGAGAAGCCTGTGTGGGGGAGCTCACAGCAGGGGAGCAGCTAAGTGACTAGTTTTTAAGTGTAACCTTACTGGGTTTTTTTTTGGATATCTACAATAGTGAGTAGAGTGGGTTCATTTATGATTATATGTTTTTATTGAGATCTCTTGATTAAACTTTAAAAATAAATAAACATAGGTATTAAGTTAGCCTGCAACTGTGTATTTAGAGCAGTGAGACTATGCTATTTTCTGGGTCTGTAGATTGTTAAGCTGCAAAAATGGCCTTTAGTAGAGTGACATACTCTTCCTGGGAGGAATGTGGCTCAGACGCTAGCATGACTGCCTCACAGCACCAGAGACCCAGGTTCAATTCCAGCCTTGGGCAACTGTCTGTGTGGAGTTTGCACATTCTCCCCAAGTCTGCATGGGTTTCCTCTGGGTGCTCTGGTTTTTTCCCACAGTCTGAAGATGTGTAGGTTAGGTGGATTAGCCATGGTAATACAGGGATAAGGTTGGGGGGGTTGGTGAGTCTAGGTGGGATACTCTTCAGAGAGTTGGTGTGGACTTATCGGGCCAAATGGCCTGTTTCCTGATTCTATTTTGTTAGGGACAGTTTCCATGTTACTGATGATTATGTCTGCAGGAAGTGTGTTTGGTTGCAAATCCTATCAGATGACATAGATTGGTTGGAGCAGCAGTTAGAGGCAATGAGGAACTTACAGGGGGTTGGGGGTGTGATGGATGGCAGTTGCAGGAAGGGAGATAAAGTGAAGATACAGTCAAGTAGATGGTGACCTCCAGGAGAGGGAGAAAATGGAGGCAGGTAGTACAGGAGTACCCTGTGGCTATCCTATCTCAAACAAATACACTGTTTTAGAAAATGTAGGGGCTGATGGTCTCTTGAGAACATAGCACTGACAGCCAGGTTTCTGGTACGGAGACCGGCTCTAATGTAACGAGGGGTACACCAGGTTCCAAGCAAGATTTGCTCGAGTAGCTCGGGAGGATTTAAACCAGTAAGGCGGATGGGTGTTGGGGGGACCCAGGGAGGTAGTGAGGAAACTGATAAGTCTGAGACTGGCGCAGTTGGGAAAAGGAGTAAGTCAAACAGACAGGGCAGGCAGGAACAATGCAGAGAACGAGGTAGGACTGATAAATTAAACTGCATTTATTTGAATGCAAGAGACCTAATAGGTAAGGCAGATGAAATCAGGACACGGTTGGGAACATGGGACTGGGATATCATAGCGATTACCGAGACATGGCTCGGGGTGGACAGGACTGGCAGCTTAATGTTCCAGGCTATAGATGCTATAGGAAGGGGTGGCAAGAGAGGAGGGGGAGTGGAATTTTTGATTAGGGATAACATTACAGCTGTACTTAGGGAAGTACATCCAGAGAGGCTATTTGGGTGGAACTGAAAAATAAGAAAGGAGTGGTCACTGTATTGGGATTGTACTATAGACTCACCAATAGTCAACTGGAAATTGAGAAGCAAATTTGTAAGGAGGTCTCAATTATCTGTAAGAAAAATAGTGTGGTTATGTGAGGGGATTTTAACTTTCCAAACAGAGACTGGGACTGCCATAGTGTTAAGGGTTGGATGGTGAGAAATTTGTTAAGTGTGTGCAAGAAAATATTCTGATTCAGTATGGGGATGTACCTCCTACTAGAGAAGGTTCCAAACTTGGCCTACTCTTGGGAAATAAGGCAGGGCAGGTGACTGAGGTATCAGTGGGGAATACTTTGGGGACCAGTGACCATAATTCTGTTGTGATGGAAAAGTATAGACCAGTTCTAAAAGTTAACATTCTAAACTGGAGGAAGGCCAATTTTGACAGTATTAGGCAAAAACTTTCAAAAGTTCATTGGGGGTAGATGTTCGCAGGTAAACGGACAGCTGAAAAATGGGAAGCCTTCAAAAATGAGATAACGAGAGTCCAGAGACAGTATGTTCCTGTTAGGACGAAGGGCAAGGCCGGTAGTTGTATGACTGGATGATGACAGAAATTAAGGTTTTAGTCAAGAATAAGAAAAGAGCATAAGTCAGGTACAGACAGCAGAGATCAAGTGAATCCCTACAAAAGTATAAAGGCAGTAGGAGTATACTTAAGAGGGAAATCAGGAGGGCAAAAACGGGACATGAGATAGCTTTGGAAAATAGGATTAAAGAGAATCCAAAGGGATTCCAGAAATTTATTAAGGACAAAAGGGTAACTAGGGAGTAAATAGGGCCCCTTAAAGATCAGCAAGTCCGCCTATGTGTGGAACCACAGGAGATGAGGTAGGTACTAAATGAGTATTTTGCATCAGTGTTTATTGTGGAGAAGGAAATGGAAGATAATGAAAGTGGGGAAATAAATAGCAAAATCTTGAAAAATGTCCATATTACTGAGGTGGTGGTGTTGAACGTCTTAAAACACATAAAGGTGGATAAATCCCTGGGACCAGATCAGGTGTACCGTAGAACTCTGTGGGAAGCTACGAAAGTGATTGCTGGGCCCATTGCTGAGATATTTGTATTATCGATAGCCACAGTGGGGTGCCGGAAGACTGGAGGTTGACCAAAGTGGTGCTGCTATTTAAGAAAGGTGGTAAGGAAAAGCCAGGGGACTATAGACCTGTGAACCTGACTTCAGTGGTGGATAAGTTGTTGGAGGGAGTCCTGAGGGACAGGATTTACATGTATTTGGAAAGGCAAGGACAGATTGGGGATAGTCAATATGTCTTTGACCATGGGAAATCGTGTCTCACTAACTTGAGTTTTTTGAAGAAGTAACAAAGAGGATTGATGAGGGCGGAGCAGTGAACATGATCTATATGGACTTCAGTAAGGCTTTCAACAAGGGTCCTCATGGTAGACTGGTTTACAAGGTTAGATCACATGGAATACAGAGAGAACTACCTATTTGGATGCAGAACTGGCACCAAGAGAGAAGGCAAGGGGTGGTGGTGGAGAGTTGTTTTTCAGAATGGAGACCTGTAACCAGCGATGTGCCACAAGGATCAATGCTGGATCCACTGCTTTTTGTCATTTATATATGTGATTTGGATGTGAACATGGGAGGTATGGTTAGTAAGTTTGAAGATGACACCAAAAATGGAGGAAGTGGTGGAGGCTGATATAAAAACAATATTTAAAAGGCGACTGGATGGGTATATGAATAGTAAGGGTTTAGAGGGAAATTGGGCCAAATACTGGCAAAAAGGACCAGATTAATCTAGGATATCTGGTTGGCAGGAACGAATTGCACCAAAGGGTCTGTTTTCGTGCTGTACAACTCTATGACTCTAAGTCAATTGGGATACACGAATCCTGTGCCGTGGGTAGTCAGTGCTGTCCTTCCACATCACCTGGGTGCTAGGCCATCATCAGCCCTGAGGGTTTGGTCAGTTATGGTCAGCAGGTAGGCCATGGAGCTCTGGGTAAGCAAACAACTCAGGCTTGTGGGTGGACTTCATTGTACGGAGTCTTTGAGGGAATTGTGACAGTGATATGGGGCAACTAGAGATCACAGAGTCGGATGTCAGCCAATGGGAAAAGACTGTGATCTCTGGATTTGGGTGGCGGGGGAGGGGCATATACGTTATGGTTATTCAGGCCTCTACATGATAAGACCAATAACGGCATTTGAATTCCCAATCTCATGGGCCCTGAGGGTAAAGTGAGCAAATTAAATAGTCATATGAAGGCAAGCAGGGATGGTGGGTGTGAGCTGAAACGTCTTAGCAAGTAATTCATTGTCCAAGAATTCACATTAAAAAGGACCTCCTGTAATGATCACCATTATATTGTGTGCACTAATTCCTCCAGGTCATATTCCCTTTATTCTTTATTCATTAATGGGACGAGGATGTCACTGGCTAGGCAGCATTTATTGTCCATCCCTAATTGCCCAGAGGGCAGTTCAGACTCAACCACATTGCTGTGGGTCTGGAGTCACATGTAGGCCAGACCATGGTAAGGATGGCAGATTTCCTTCCCTAAAGTACATTAGTGAACCAGATGGGTTTTTCCCAACAAGGTTGAGAGAGCTAGGGCTTTTCTCTTTAGGACGACGAAGGATGAGAGGTGACTTGATAGAGGTGTACAAAATGATCAGAGGTATCGATAGAGTGGACAGCCAGAGACTTTTTCCTAGGGTGGAGGTAGCTAGTACAAGGGGGCATAGTTTTAAAGTGAGTGGAGGTAGATACAGGGGAGACGTCAGAGGTAGGTTCTTTACTCAGAGAGTGGTCGGGGCGTGGAATGCATTGCCGGAGAGGTAGTGGAGTTGGCCTCGTTAGGGGCATTTAAGCGGCTGTTAGATAGGCATATGGATGATAGTTAAGGTAGGGGTGGAGGTTAGATAGACCTTAGGATTAGGGTAAAAGTTTGGCACAACATCGTGGGCCGAAGGGCCTGTACTGTTCTATGTTCTATGTTCTAATCGGCAATGGACTGATGGTCATCATTAGACTCTTAATTCCAGATATTTATTGAATTCAAATTCCATCCTCTGCTCTGGCGGGATTTGAACCCAGGTCCCCAGAATGTATATCTGGGTCTCTGGATTAACAGTCCAGCGATAATACCACTAGGCCATTGTCATATTGGTGAAGCAAATACAATTGGAACAGGACACTTAAAAGCATGGCGCGGTGGTGACAGAGTAGTGATGCCACTGGACAGGTAATCCAGAGGCTATTGTCCTGAAGATGTGTGTTCAAATCTCACCATTGTAGCCGGGTGAAATTTAAATTCAATTAACAGTAAACCTGGAATAATCTCAGTAATGGTGACCATTACAGCAATTAAGAACGGGCAATATATGATACCTTATTGACAGGGTGTTTCCAACACTTTTTTTATTTCAGACATCAAGCATTCAGTGAATTTTACTTTTATAAATTCAACAAGGCTATTTTTAATTTTTCTTTAATGGAATGCTTCTGTCACTGGACATTTCTTACCCATCCCAAAATGTCCTTGAATGAAACGGCCTACTGCACTAGTTTTGTGAGTGATTAAGAATCAAACACATTACTGTGGGACGCTGGAGTCACATATAGGCCAGACCAGGAAAGCATGGCTGATTTTCTTTCCTAAAGACTTTTGTGAAACTGATGGGTTTTTAACAATGATGGTAGTTTAATAGCCATCATTATTGGAAGAACCTTTCTAATTCCAGATTTTGCTTAGTTAGTTGAACTTAAATTCTACCAGTTGCCATGGTGGTATTTGAACACAAGAATCTCAGTCCTCAGAGTATGAGTATTCAGGAGATTCAGACCAGTGTAGTGACAATATCATTACACCGCAATTGCCTTCCATTCTGTCAGTTGAAATAATCAATCAAATATGGCATGCAATCACTTAGCATGAAATTAAATAAAATAAGGTAATGGTGAACTGAGGGTAGCATGGATATTGCAACTGGACTGAGATTCCGGTTTATTTCTAGATTTACTTCCAGATTTCTTACAGTTATTACATTTCAGTAGATAAGATTTTTATTTTGATTCATTTTTAGTTCTTTTATACTAAAAATTGACATTTAAATAAGTACAGGAGTGAGAAACGTTGGGAGGGATATGGGCCAAGTGCAGGCAGGTGTGACAAGTTTAGTTGGGGATTATAGTCAGCGCGGACCAATGGTCTGTTTCCTTGCTATATGACTCTATGACTTTATTGCTCTATTTTTGGAAAGAATTTGAAATTACTTAATGGGCTTTATATTCTTTTATAAATAATTATCATCACTTCTGATTTTCACAGGAACCCAAACTTGAAAACACTCTTATCTATCGGTGGCTGGAATTTTGGAACTGAAAAGTAATTTTCTTTTCATTAGTGATTTTCTACCACTGTACAAACTGTGTTATTTTTAGTGTGTTAATGAAACACGAAATACAGAAATATGTGAAACTTCATACCAGAAGAACTGGTTAAGAGTCTATGTCTACAATTGATTTCTAAAATATTTCAATGCTTTTCTTTGATCTGTTGACTGCATTGCTGTCAATTTGCTTAAGAAAAAAATCATTCTCAAGCCAATGAATCAGAATGTTTTACCAATACAGTTCACAAGTGTTTATCTTAATACATTACTTTAGAGTTCTCTGGAGTTTAGAAGAATGAGAGATGATTATTTTGAAGAGCATAAAACTTTTAAGAAAGCCTGACAAGTTAGATACTGAGAAGATATTTCCCCTGGCTATAGAGACTAAGACACTGGTGAAGCCACAACTGGTGTATCATGTGTAGTTCCAGTCACCACATTATAGGAAGGAGGTAATTGCTCTGGAGAGAGAGCAGAGAAGATTTACTAAAACATTGCCAGTGCTGGAGAATTGTGGCTACGAGGAGAGATTGGAGAGGTTGGGGTTGTATTCCTTCAAACAGAGAAGGCCAAGGGAAGACATGATTGAGGTATACAAAATTGTGAGGGGTAGAGGTAGAATAAACAGGAGGAACCTGTTTCTTTCGGTAGGGAGTTCAAAATTCAGAGGTCATAGATTCAAGCTAAGTGGCAGAAGGATTAGAGGAGATTTGAGGAAAATCTTTTAACACAGAGGGTAGTGGGTTTCTGGATTTCACTACCCGAGTTGGTGGTGGAGGCAGAGACTCTAAACTCTTTTAAAAAGGACCTGAATCTGCACCTTATGTGCTGTAAGCTGTAGGGCTATGGTTCGTGCACAGAAAGATGAGATTAGAAATGGCATCTGGGTATCTGGGTTGGCATGGACAAGATGGACTGAATGGCCCCCTTCAGCACTGGATCATTTCAACGGTTCCAACCTAAGTCCGTTATCTCAGAATAAAGAGCCAACTACTTAGAAAAAGGGATGAAGAGAAATTTCTTCACTGCATTTTGTGGATCTTTTGAATTGTCTACTCCAGAGAGCTGTGGACATTCCAATGCGTAAGCTTATTTGTGAGCTTGATCGGATTTTTGTTACAAAGGGAATTAAGGGATATTGAGTGATATGGCAGGCAAATAAATAGATGGAGAGGCTCAGCATGATCTTATTAAAGTGCAGTGCAGGTCCATTGGAATGTGGCCTACCCTTAATTTTATTTCTTATGCCCTTATATCTTTCAGGTTCACTGCTATGGCTTCCAGCAAAGAAACTCGTTTAATATTCATTAAATCCGTTATAGATTTCCTACGGCAAAAAGATTTTGATGGTTTAGATCTACATTGGGAGTATCCAGCATTTAACAGAAGCCCATACCAGGACAAACAGCACTTCACTTTGTTGGTTCAGGTGAGTTACATTATACCTTAGATCCACAAGTTACCGGGGACTCAATCTGCACAATAATGTTTTCAAAATTAAATACAGATCATACGTCCAATTGCGTAACAAAAAGATCTGTCAACTTCTGAATGAGAAAAATTACCATTAAGAAGTGTCCACATTTCACACTTACATTTGAATTGAATTGAATGATTTATTGTTACCTGTATTTAACAAATAGTGAAAAGTCTAATATGTAACCAGGCTCTGACGCCATTGAGTTACAGAAGATATAACTAGAATATAACTAGAAACAGAGTTCTTTCTCCCTTCTTGTGCTCTACCCGACATGGGGCTTCTCCAAAACGGGTTCCAGGTCCCTGTTGCTTCGCAGTCCATTCCAGGAGCCCTGCTGGACTACCATCACCACTAGTGCATTCCAGGAGTACCACACCGGGTCTACCACCGCTCCCGTCGATCCGCCAGAAGTACTGATTTGGGTCTTCTGTATCTCTGCACCGGAAGCCCAATATCCCGATTCTGACATCTACCACTGATGCCACCTACACCGCCAACCACAGAGGCTACTCTGCTGTCGCGGCCATCTTGAAAAGTGGCGCCACCGCCTCAAGCCCTGCGCTGGTAGGGCCACAAACGTTGAAGTCACCACACTCTGGCAGCATCTCTCATCGCTGGGCCTGCACTCGCTCCTATCGTGAGCTACATAAGACCTCTCCCCGAGGAGACGACTCTTGTCGCCATTGCTGCACACGTTCAGGAGGCTGGGCCTGGCCTCACTCTGCCAAAGGCTTTTAAAGAGGGAAAAGAAAGAAAAAAAGAAAGCGATCAAAGATAAAAAGATGAAAATAACAAAGAAAGCAGATGGAAGCAGATGAGCTCCAGGCTAGGTGCTCAAACACAACATTGCTACTCAGCCTCCATCTTGATTTGGCAACAAAAAATCAAATTATATCTCACAAAAATGGTTGTTTTACAGCCACGTCAGAAGTTAAGATGAAGGAATTCTATCAAGGCAATTGAAGCACCTCATGTCTGCTTTTATTAGAAATGATACAAGGATACAGCTTTACTATTTAAATGCGGGGCTACTTGCCTTTATTTCAATAGTTTTTTTTTCTAAGTAACTGAGTCTCCTAGACCATGGGGAATTCAGCAGCTTTAATAAAGCAAAAGGTGCAGAATCAACAAGGTATATTCCATAATATTATCTGCTTGGAGGCGGAGCAGAGAAGCTTTCTCCAGACGTGACATTCTACTCAATTAAACAGCCACTGCCCAGGATTTCTTTGATTCCACATGTTCCCCATCACACACCCACCCATGATCATAAAACTCCCCTGACCAGATCTGTCAGACTCTGCCACTGCACCGACCTGCTTCAGGCTTTAGCTCCATAAGGCGAGCATCCCACTTGAAACCTGTCAATGGACCAGAACCCCACAAAAAAGAATTTAAATCCCCACAAAAAAAGAATTTAATTCAACTAAATTCTGAAAAATGCCGGCGAAATCCATTCGAGTTCTCCAAAGTGGTAACATTTATGTCCCTGCCACAGAATAAACTTTGCTCCCCAGACATAAATCCAGGCCAATCTGTTTTATGCAAATATGATACAGGATGGCGCATGTATGGAACAAGCTGCCAGAGGAAGTGATGGAGGCAGGTACAATTACAACATTTAAAGGACATCTGGATGGGTACATGAATGGAAGGGTTTAGAGGGGTATGGGCCAAATGCTGGCAAATGGGACTAGATCACTTTAGGATATCTGGTCAGCATGGATAATTGAACTGAAGGGTCTATTTCCGTGCAGTATAGCTCTAAGACTCTATGATAGGTAAGGGTGATGTAATTTTATTTAAAAATAGCGTTATCTTGCCTATTGTGTTGACAGAAAACAAACCCTTTAAAGTGTATTATCCAAAATTTGTAAATGAGTTTTATGTTAAGGCATACTTTCATTTCAGATATTGTGCTAGCATCCAACTTCAATTGACACCTGGACATTCTGTTTCTATCCTAAACTATGCCATAGAATCACAGAATCCCTACAGTGTGGAAACAGGCCACTCCACCTAACAAGTCCACACTGACCCTCCGAAAATCATCCCACCCAGACCCATCCCCTTACCCTTTCCCAGCAACCCTACATTTCCCATGGCTAATCCATCTAACTTACACACCCCTGGACATATGCGCAATTTATATTTGGTCAATCCACCTAACCCACACATCTTTGGACTGTGGGAGGAAACCAGAGCACACCCAGCAGGCTCCCACACAGACACAGGGAGACCATGTAAACTCCACACAGACAGTCACCCGAAGCTGGAATCAAACCGGGTCCCTGGTGCTGTGAGGCAGCTAACCATTGAGCCAAGGTTTGATTTTCTATAAAAGCCCATATTGATTCGTCAATTGCATATTATCCTGCAATTGCATACCATACCTATGTTCTCCCCAGTGATTTTATAGTGACTGGGAATTTTAAATCGTAGTTAATTCTCTGGCTTCCATTTAAATAGTTTAACCTACCTTCTCCTGCAAAGCAATTGCTAGAACTTTCCCAATACCCAACCAGGAAACAGCGTAATTCCCAGTGCAGCCATGCCCCTCCCCCCAATAAAGGAATGCTTGGAACCCAACCCATCCCACTTCAAACTACCACACTCCCTTCCTCCAGGACTCCTTTACTCCGTCCCTCTACCCATTGCCTTCTATATGTTTACCCTTTCCTCTCCTTCCTGCCCCTCTTACCTCATTTCATCTTGGTCCATTTATTCTCTTGCCCTCTTGGCTTCCACTGTGTTATTTCACCAATCACCAAAAGCCAGTGAACAAGTGGGAACAAAATCAAAAAGCCTAATGAAATGTCAATGTTTATATCAAGGGTTTCAAATACAAGTGATACTTCCCTTATACAATGTCTAGGTCACATAGATGGTTGGAACACAATGTAACTTGACCAGAATCATACCAGGACATAACAGATTAGAATATAAAATCAGATAACAGAAACTTTTCTTGTGTTCCCTGGAGCTCAGACAGTTGGAGGATGGTGTAATTTCAAACCTCAGTCATGAAAATACGAAAGAATGCTCTCCTGAGACGAGGCACTTCTCCCCATCAAGGGATCAACGTTCAAAACACTTGTCCTCATCCTGCATCCAAGCATAAACATCTGTTTGAAAGTTGCCTGAAAGATCAGCTGCCCTGTCTTCTCCTACCCCAGGATGCTGTATCCCAGTGAAAAAAGGGAAAACAAAATTCCAAAAACTGTTGAAAATGTAATACATTTGCAAAATGTAATATCCAATGTTCCATTGTTATAATCTTCTTGTTGAATTTATTGTACGTTAACATACAGGAAACTGTCGAAGAGTTCAAGAAGGAATCCAGTGAAAGTAACAAACCGAGATTGCTGCTTTCAGCTGCAGTGGCATCCGGCATAAGAAACATTCAAGCAGGCTATGAAATAGAAAAGATTTCAGAGTATGTACAAGCTACTTATGTGATGTACATTTTGTAACTGATGCAGTTTGCATTTCACTGTACTCTAAATATAGTAACTATATTCCTGACAATAACAACCAAGACATTGAATAAGTGCAATATTCCTGCTGTACTGAATGCAATCTTTCAAAAGCCAGATACATGACAAAGCTTCTGAACCAAAGAGTTAGATGTTGCAGATTAAATAATCTGGCACTAGGCACTAACAGCAGAATAAATCGTTTGAAGGAACAACTGGATTCAGTTTTAACGAAAGACGACATTGAAATAAATAATCAGAAATCAGGAGTATAGGTTCGATTTCGAACAAACAGCTAAACTTGATGAGTATACTGTAACATAAACATGTGGTGGAATCCCACAGGAGGCTGAGGCTGTGGGCTGTGGAAAGCAACGTGGCAGAATCAGGCAAGTGTATCAAGGGTCCATTTTGATGTTCGGAGCAATGCACATCATCTTCAATGCTTTTCACAAGCAGTGTTGAGAGATTCTTGCCAGGCAGTGGCAATTTGCCAACTGACAGTCAGTATTGCTTGTTTAACACCTTGTTAACAGCCCAGCTTGCCTCATTAATATTCAACCTCCCATCTTACCAAACGAGCCTGACATTCGGAAAACTCAGCAGGAAACCATAGTGAGTACCTGGCAGATTCTGCTCTCTGCTTGCTCCAAGGGACCTTCAAGTTGGACCCTGGGCACCAACACTTCAGGGGATGCTCCAAGGGCACTGGCCACATTTACCCCGTGTTCACAGACATTAGCATCCAACATGTGCCAGGCTTTAAGCACCCTCTTGGCACATCCATGATCCACTTACAAGACACTTCTACACTTCAAAGCTGCACTGGCAACTATGTGATGCTGCAGCAAGGATATTGTGCACTCAGGGACACATACCCAGCTCATGGATTGGATCAGACTGTATCTTTGGACCCTTTGCTTGCTCGAGTGGGTTCACTTACTCTACGTCTACTGGATACTCACAGCACTTTGCCCCCTCAGCCAGAGATATCAGGCTGATATTACTGTCACCTGTTTGGCGCAGGTACAAATCCAGTAAATTGGCCTTATTTGTCAGCAGGCCTCATTCAAGCCAAAGGGGATAGCCCTCACTCAGCAAAGCCTGGCACTGTAAGTCAAGATCACCCTCTGATACCAGTTCAGGGCTTTCTTGGGCATTCAGAGTCAGTATCCTCTTCTTATAACGAGTGAGGAGCTGAATGTCAGGCAGCCCACCACCTTGTCTTCACTCTTTCTGCTCCACTTTGGGTTGTCTTGTTGGCGAGAGAGAGAGGTATTATAGAATATGAAAGTGGGCAGCACAGCTGTTCCTATTGGTGCAGGTGGGAAAGCGTCCCAAGTGAGTGAGTAGGAAGTGTAGAGGATATGTAGGGTTCGTGGTTTTGGATTTTGGGGTAGATGACAGTGGGTAAGGGAGGATGTTGCAAGCAATTCTGAGAGTGATACAGCACGAGCCTTGGTGGAAGGTCAGTTCAATAGCAGACATGGAGTGAGTTTGAGGTATCTGTGAGAAGATGGTGGCACTTATCTCGCCCTATTGGAGAAGGATATTGACCTCCTCCCTACATTGCTGCGCATTTCTTCAGGCAGCTGATATTGCACTGACCCAGGTGCCAATCTAGGACTGTGCTGGCATGGTCTGCTGTTGTGGCATTGACTGCTGATCTTGAGGGTGGAGAACAAGGAAGTCCTGCATTGACACCACCCCAACCAACGGAACCTCAAAGACCCTACCCACAAAGCGGGTAGTTGATTTCCCCATCAGCCATGTCTGGGAAAAATATTAGAGATTGTGCAAGGCAGCTCGTACTGATAGTGCTTGTCCATGTGCACCATGGGCCCAGGCCCAAGTTTCCTGATCTTTTAGTGGATTTTGGCTACGCAGCAAGTTCTTACAGCAACGCTGTGTAGTAAGATGGGGCAGACATCATTTGACAGAGACCCCATAGGGGCATTCTGGGAAATTAATGAGACGTTGAAAAGACAAGGCAAAAAAACTCACTAAGCCTCATAGTGACAGGCCCTCCCAAAAACCAAATCTAACCCAGACTTAGTCAAAAAACAAACAGAAGATTCAGCCCATAGTGCTGGGGAAAATTAGAAGGTGTGCCAGCATCCATGGAGAGAAAAACAAAGTTAACACTGAGTCCAATTTGACTCTTCTTCAGAAATTGTTGATGGGTTACTGGCCTTTCCCTCTTCCTTAAAATCCTCATTCAATAATATGTAAGCTATGAAGGATGATAAATAAATTACAGAGGTTGAGAGATCAGGAAGATAATCAATGCTATTCTTCACCAGTGGTTGAGTCAATGTATGTAGCACATGTGTCCTTGAGTACCAGCCCCAACATCTCATTTTTGTTTTATACAGGGCCTTGGATTTTATCGGTGTGATGACTTATGAATTCCACGGACCATGGGATCTTAAAACTGGACCGAATAGCCCCCTGTACAGAAGTTCTACTGATTATAATGACAATAAATACTTTAACGTTGTATGCATAAAAATTAAGAAAATCTTTTCTCCATTTTTTGTTTTTCTGCTGAATTATTAATATAAATTTAAGAGATTAGTTCAAATAATATTTCTTCCTTCCAGGAGTTTGCTACCAACTACTGGAAACAGAATGGTGCCCCTGCAGAAAAACTGTTGGTTGGATTTCCAACTTATGGCCGTACTTTTACGCTCTGCTCAGCTGATAGCAAACCTGGTGCTGCAGCATGTGGTCCTGCACCACCTGGGAATTGTACTAAAGCAGCTGGCATTTGGGCATACTACGAGGTACAGTTTAACATTTATACAAAACAAATTATGTCAACATCTTGCATTATGATATTTACAAAAAGAAACTTTTGTGCCCATCAAATTCATCATAAAAATTAAAGTTACTGCAACTCTAATTACAAAGAAGTCTGCTTATACCAAAGCATGTGTTACAGTGTCCTGACTTTGCAACAACCCACAGATAAAAAATTGGCCTCTTTAGTTACCACAATCATGTCAACTTCCACAGGGATAACCTAATCATGATCATCACTAACTATTAACATTAATGTAAAAAGAGACATGCTGTTGCTTTGTTTCATTTTGCACTAATCAGGACAGAATTGCAAGAATATCAAACTTCAAAGGGAACAACAATAAATACTAGAATTTAAAAACCGAAAGAACTGTGAATGCTGTAAATCAGGAACAAAAACATAAGTTACTGGAAAAGCTTAGCAGGTCTGGCAACAGCTGTGAGGAAAAGTCAGAGTTAGCATTTCGGGTCCAGTGACCCTTACTCAGAACAGGAGTAGTTCTGAAGAAGGGTGGCCACACTCGAAACGTTAACTCTGATTTCTCTTCACAGACGCTGCCAGACCTGATGAACTTTTCCAGCAACTTCTGTGTTTGTGTACTGGAATTTAAAGCTTCAATTGAAAATCTCTTGCAAGCTCCATACCACAAAACAATTATTTAACTACCAAATAATAAAGCCTTAACAGAACTGTTATTAATTTATCATAATTGCATTCAATATTTTCTTCAATTAGAGTAAGAATATATACTATATGACAGAGGAAGTGCCTGGATTAAAATAGTTAAACAATCTGTAGATAAAATCATATTTCTACCTCATTTTCATATCAATCTATTCACTAGTCACACAATGACTTTCATTCATAAGCAAGTTGTTTAAATGAAATCCCTTGTGTACATAAGCAAAGGATTTGCCCTTTCATCCTCTGTTTTTTTTCCTTCTGTCTGCCCTTTGCATTCTTTGAATTTGCCCCATGCCAGAGCAGGAGCACGCGTCAGTTTAGTATGCTCCGTTTACTTCCAAATGGAAACAATGGAACATTATCAGGAAGTAAGTCTAACCCATCATCTGCAATAAATGGAAGCATCCTCATGAAACTGATTAATTGCACTAAATTTGTAATCAGTTACTAAATTTGACTGTTTGTATTCTAAATGATAGAATGTGTCTGGTGGTGTTGCACAAGGATCTGTTTTGGGGTGTTAGTTATCCGTTATATTTATTAATGATTTAGACAAGGGGTTAGAAACCACTTTTTCAAATTTGCTAATGATGCGAAGAATGTAACCAGCATAGTCAGAAGAAAATTTTGATACAGAAAGAAGCAGGACCATAGAAAATGGATTTTACCATACGCAAACGTGAGCTATGGACCTCAAAATGATAGAAGAGGATGATGTTAAAAAAGTGAAAATTTGGAAACAGTGAAAGACAAAGAGACTTGGGGATTCAAATCCAGAGATTATCTACTTCAACAAATCTTTGTAATATTTTGAACACTTTGATTAGATCACCTGTCAATTTTCCATTTTCAACAGAATACAATCTGTGTTTTGCAACTTCAGGATAGCACACAAGAGCATTAGCCCCATAAAGTACTTGTGCCTCATTAGTAAACTGTACACATTTTTGTTAACAGATATGTGACTTTCTGAAAGGCGCTAATAAGGAGTGGATGGAGGAGCAGGAGGTTCCATATGCATACAAAGATGATGAGTGGGTTACTTATGATAACTTGAAGAGTTATGAGAAAAAGGTATGCGTTTTATAGTCATTTCCTGCTACATTTATTTAACTAATTGTACATAATAAATCCACCTGTGTTCAGTGCATACAATCAGTTTTACTGTTTGGTTAGATATAGTTTAAATTAAACAGCTGGCACAACCATCAGGAAAGCAGAGTTCACGAGAAAGCATTAAGCAGTAGAATAAAGGAGAAAACCTGAAGGATTAAAGAAAAACTATGTAAAGTGCAAGAGAAAAATGAGCGGAAGAGTAGTGTCCATAGAGGTAATCTGTGTGGGGGCACAGACTAAGGGGGCATAATCCTCAATGAATACTTTGCACTGATCTTACAATAGAAAAGGATGACACAAATGTAGACATCATGGTGGAGAACTGTGAAATACTAGAAGAAATTAGCATAAAGGAGGAACGAGCAATGTTAGCAGCTTTAAAAGTAGATAAATCCGTAGGCTCAGTATCCCTGTCTGTTGAGGGAGTCACCCTGGCCACAGGTGAGGTTTCAGAGAACTGGAGAACTATGAAGATTGTCAATTTGTTTAAGGAAAGGAAAGAATAGAGCAGGAAATTACAAGCCAGTGAGCCCAGCCTTAGTAGTGGGAATTTAACAGAACAAATTCTGACGTACAGAATATATTTACACTTGGACAAACACGGATTAATCAGGGATAGTCAGCATGGATTTAAAGGATTGCCATGTTGACAAAACTTGAGGAGATAAACAGGTGTATTGAAGAGGATAATGCATTTTCTGTAATCTACATCGACTTTCGCAAAACTTTTGATACATTCCCTCAGGGCAGACTGGTGTAGAAAGCAAAAGCTCATGAGATCCAACGCAAAATGGCAAGTTGGATTCAAAATTGGCTGAGAAGCAGGAAGCAGAGAGTGATAATAGAGAGATGCTTCTGTGACTGCAGGTTTGTTTCCAGTGGGGGTCCAGAGGACTCTCCATGCTGGGACCCTTGCTGATTGCAGTATACATTAATGATTTTGACTTAATCACATGGAGTCTGATCAAGGAATTTGTGAAATACACAAAAAAAATCAACCAGAGCAATGATAAGTGGAATTCAACCTTGAAAAGTGAGAGGTTATGCACTTGGGGAGGACTAACAAGGCAGGGGATTACACTATGAATGGTAGAACCCCAGAAAGTACTAAAAATCAGGTGGACTTTTATGTGCACGTCCACAGATCCTTGAAGGTAGCAGGGCAGGTAATTAAGAAGGAATATGAGATACTTGCTTTATTAGCCAAGGCATATAACATAAGAGTTAGAAGGATATGCTGGGACTGTATAAATGTTGGTTAGGCCACAGCTAGAGTGCTCTGTGCAGTTTAGCTCACATTATTGGGAGGACTAAACAAGGTACAGAGGAGATTTACCAGGATGCGCCCTGAGCTATAAGGAAAGATTAGAAAGCCTGGGATGGTTTTCCTTGGAACAGTGAAGATTAAGAGGTGTAGACGATTGTGAAGGGCTTAGATCAGATAGGTTGGAAAGCACGTTTTTATTGGTAGAGGCATCAGTGACTAGGGGCCATAGATTTAAGGTAAGAGGTAGAAGGCTAATAGGAGAGTTGGCAATTTTTTTACACTCAGAGAGTGGTGGAAATCTGGAACTCTCTACCTGAAAGTGTGCTTGAGTCAAAAAGAACTCTAGTAACATTGAAGCAGTTATTAGATATTCATTTGTGTTGCCATAACCTCCAGGACTATGGACCAAAAGCTGGAAAATGGATTGATGTAGTCAGATTTTTGTTGACTGATGTGTGCATGATGGGCTGAATGGCCTCCTCTGTGCTGTAAACATCTATGTATCAACAAATCTATAACTCTAACTTCATACTATATTGATTCCAAAGGTATTGATCACTAGATTTCCTTTTTAATTGTGTTTAATAACTTGCATTTTCTATAATGTTGTTCTGAATGCTTAGTAACATTAGATGGTATTATAGATATTAGGTAGTATTATGGATAATAAAGATAACAAACAATTTGCTGTTCGTTAGGAAGCCCTCAGTCCCTCAGCTTCCCATAATTTCCTAAAGGCTTGTCCATAGCATTCAACATCTGAGCAAGTGGTATTTCAGCATGAATGAGCCTAGAGAGCAAGTAATGGCAGGACATTCAATTGTCATAACATCATAACAGAGACTGATATATTTTTATGACAGAACCAAGGCATGTAGATAGAGTTAAGATTTAAAACAACCATGATCTAACAATGGCAGAACAGGCTGGGATGATTTAATGGCGTACTCCTTTCTTATGCTTCAAACATCCACATACATGTTGATGCTTTCTGCAAAGGGTCACTAAACACAATAAAAAAATTATTTTCCCATGTGCTTGTTTAGTGTTCTCCACTGTGCATAACCTAACCGTTATGTGGTTGAATGCTGGAACCATTCTGACCAACGAGATCCATGAGAGGTAGTGCACTTAATTGCCGTGATATCATGAAAACATCTAATTTTGACCCCATTGCAGTTGAAAGGAAGACTAGCCCTTTAACTGTATACAATGGTATCACACAGTAACAGTGGTCCACAAGAAAAGAGTCCATTCTGATTAAATAGAATGCTTTAAATTCTTTTTGTATAGGTGGAATGGTTAAAAAATAATAGCTTTGGTGGTGCAATGGTTTGGACAATCGACATGGATGATTCCAAAGGTACTTTCTGTAAGCAAGGAAAATCACCCCTCATTAGTAAACTGAAGATTCTGCTTTCTTCAAATTCTAAACCTAAAGAAGATTTGTCGGGTAATTTATTATTTAATGCTGCTTTTCAGAATCAGATAAATATTTATGTTGGAATGCAACTCATTCTGAGCCACTTGTTTGTTATTCTATAGTACATTACCGTGATTATTTCCATGATCTCAACTACAGGGACAGACACAGGCATATTTCTGAAATGCTGCTCATTCAATAAAATTAAATATTTTCATGGACTAAAATCATGTCATTTAAAATATGGCAAAATAAACCTTAAGTTTCCGCATCATGAGAGCCATCATCACTGATATGATACCTTATTAACTGCCTTGTGGAAATCCAAGCACAACAAATCTTCTTCCTTTATCCGCAATAACGGACTACTTACTCAAAAAATTCCCATGAATTGATTAAACATGATTTTCCTTTCACAAAACAATGTTGACTCTGCTGATTTCCTTAATCTTTTCTAAGTGCCCTACCACATTATCTTTATAACAGCTTCAACCATGTTTCCCACGGCAGATGTTAAGCTAACTGGCCTTTAACTTGAGATAATTTGATTTAGATAGTAGGATATCATTTTCCGAAACATCAGCTTTCCTGCTCCTCTGATGCTGCTTGGCCTGCTGTGTTCATCCAGCTCTACACCTTGGCCTTTAACTTCCCATTTTGTCTCCCTCCCTTTTTGAATAAACATGTTACATTTGCTATTTTCCAATCTAATGGAATGTTCCACAAATCCAGGGAACTTGGAAACATTAAAATTAACACATCAACTCTTTTGTTACCAACTGATTTTCAGGCCCTAGGATGAGGGTCATCAGGACTCGCATGTCAGTGCACAGTTCCAACAATTTGTGCAGTACCACTTCTCTCATGATTGTATTTTACTTGAGCTCATTCTCCTTTACATTTCCAGATTTAGAGTTATTTCTGGGCTGTTACTTTTATTCTATATAATGAAGATTGATGCAAACCACCTCTCCAATTCATTTGCCGTCTCTTTATTTCCATAATTAATTCCCCAGATTCATTTTCTATAGGACCAACACTCACTTTAACTTTGCTTTAATAAAATAGAAACTTCATTGTTTTCACATTTCTAGCTAGATTTCTTTCATACTCTTCCTTTTGCTGTCCACATTAAATGTTTAGTTCTTTTTACATGTTCTGACAAATCTTTTGATCCACCACCCATCTTGGCATAATTATGCAATTTTTGGGTTTGATACTATACAGTTTAAGTGAAGCACAGATGGTAGGTCCTCCACTTGGTAATTTTCTTTATTCAAACATATGTTTATTCTGGAATAATTCCTTAAATGTCTACCACGACATCACTCTTAAATTATCCCTTAATCTAATTTGCCAGTTTACTCCAGCTAGCTCTGCTTTCATGCCCACAGAATTGCCTTTATTTAAAATACTAATCTTGGACCCACTCTTCTCTCCCTTCAAAAATGTAATATTCAGCCATGTGATGGTCACTGCTATCTAGGGCTGCCTTAACTGCATGGTCATTAATTAATCACATTTCATCCTAAAGATCTCTAACATGAGAAAGTGTTCCAAACTCTCTATCACATTTAATAGAACATAGAACATAGAACATTACAGCGCAGTACAGGCCCTTCGGCCCTCGATGTTGCGCCGACCTGTGAAACCAATCTGAAGCCCATCTAACCTAAACTATTCCATTATCATCCACATGTTTATCCAATGACCATTTAAATGCCCTTAAAGTTGGCGAGTCTACTACTTTTGCAGGCAGGGCATTCCACGCCCTTACTACTCTCTGAGTAAAGAACCTACCTCTGACATCTGTCCTATATCTATCACCCCTCAATTTAAAGCTATGTCCCCTCATGTTACTATTGCTGAATCTCCCCCACCAAACATTCTGGAAGCTACTCTCGATCAGAAACTGAACCAGACCATTCATATAAATATGGTGTGGCTACAATAATCCAGTTAGAAACTGTGAATTGTACAGTGAGTAACTCATTTCCTGACTCCCCAAATCTTGCCTTATATCTATAAGACAAGCCAGACTGTGAGAATACTCTCTCCATTTGCCTGGATGAGTGCTATTCCAGCAACACTTAAGCAGCGTAAAACCGCTCAGGATAAAGTAGTCCATCAATGACAACACCCGCATTCCCCACCTTAAGCAATAGCTTTCCACCAATGATGCAGGGGCAGCAATATGCACCATCTACAAGGTGCAATGCAGCATCTCACCAAGCATCTTCCACAACTTCCAAACACATGACTACAGCACAATAAGGATTAGGACAGCAGGCACGAGGGAACAGCCCTCTGCACAAATTCTCTTCTGACACACATCAGATACCAGCAAGAAAATAGAAATCTAAATGGCATCGAGACTGACCAGGTGAAAATCTGTCCTGCATGTTCCTTACAAAGCTCCTGAATTACATGATCATGAGGAGCTCTTATCCAGGTTCTAATGTGGGCTCACAACACAAAATTGCCTTAAATTTGGTGACTCTAGTTACAGGCCATGCTATGAAAATATATAAACGTCACAAAAATGTACTAAAAATGCTCTTCTGAGAGGTTGTGCTGAGACACACTAGTTTAAGCAAGTGCGTGAAAATGTAAGAAAACATAAAATAATTTTGCCATTTCACTGAACATTAAAGGCTCTCCACTTCACTACCTTCATTAAGTCATTCCATAAAAGTTAACCCTTTGACCAAGCTTTTAATTGTCAGTCTAATATGTCTTAATATGGCTCAGTACCCTCTCCTCTTGGGATGTTTTAAGAAAGCATTATTTATATATTTACCTCCATGTCAACTTCAATATATTGGCTTTCTTTCTTTCAGCCACAACAACTGCATTACCAACCCCTGCATCAGAAAATTCATCAACTTCTCCGCCTTCTACGGTGTGCCCCGATCTGGAATTCTGCAGTGACAAAAATAATGGTAGCTATCCAATTCCATGTGCTTTGGACAGCTTTTATCGATGCACTAACAAAAACACCGACATCGAGAACTGTCCCAAGGGTACTTCCTATAACACGATTAAAGACAAATGTGTTTGGCCAAATAGATTATTTCCAACAATCAATTTAGCAGCCCACAACTTTTGCAAAGGCAAGCCTGATGGTAACTATGCAATTCCAACTCCCAAATATTATAAATGCTCTGCTGATGAAACACGAATAAAGCAATGTCCCTCTGATCTACTCTATAATGCAATTAGCAGAAACTGTGAAAATATAAATATGCTTGCTGACTTTGATGTGACTTTTTGCAGTAACAATCTTGACGGTACCTACCCAATTCCAGGCAGGCCAAACAAATTCTATCACTGTTCCAATAAGGAGACCAACATTGGAAGTTGCCCCAAGGGAAGTGTTTATAATAACTTTTGTAAATGCTAGACACAGCTGTGCGTATAATAAGACCACACTGAATGACAATAAAACTTGTTTAAAGAATTACAATGTTAAACTGATCATACAGAGGGCTTAGTACAAAACTGATTAACTACTTTGTTATTTTGGAATGTATGTTGCCAACACCAAGATGGCCATCTGTGCGTGCAGAATAGAAGGTGCTGATGTCTCACCCCTGCAAAGTTTCTGCCCGCTTGCCAGCCTCTTCAGAAGAACGCATTCTGGATGTGTCCCTCTCATCTGTTATAACCCCTCCCACATACCCCCATCCCACCACCCACTCCTGGTGGCTGCATCATCCCTCAGCGCATGACTTCCCATTTTGCTCAGGGTATGGGGCAACAAATAAGGCAGTAGGTGATGCATGGAGGGCTGAGTAGACCTCTGGGTCAATGGTCAACGGGTAGTCGGCAACACAGTGTTGTAAGTTTAATAAAGCCACAAGTTGAAAATTCAGTTCTGTCATACTGTAACATCTGTTGCATTCACTGAGCCAGACACAGAGGTTTAATCACAAAGTAGTTCTTCCTCATATGTGTGACTGCAATTGGCGATAGACACTGCCTTTTCATTTGTGCTGCAGAATCATATGGTTTAAGAATTTGGAATGTCAAATGTCACCCGTTTCCATTTTAACCTGCAATATGGCTCATTATGATGTCCCTGGTGACCAAAATTGGTCCCAACTAAATTTAACAATCCCCTATCTTAAACAACTCATTCACATTTTCTCTCCATCCTCACAATGGTCTGCTTGAGTTCTGCCAGGACCACTTGGTTCCTGACCTCTTACAGGTTTACTTCAAAATGGATAAGAGCTGAATGTGGTCGTTGATATCAAGACAACATCCGATGAATTTGACTTTAAAGGAGTCCTGACAAAATTGGAGCAGTTGAGAATCAGATGGCAAAACTCCTCATACCAAGCACAAAAAGGAAGATGAGTGTGGTTGTTTAGAGCCGATCATCTCAGCCATAGGACAGCACGGCAGGAATCTTCAGGATCATAAAACCATCTTCGCTGATTTGTCATTGATCTTCCATCCATCACAAGATCAGAGTGTGGATGTTCACTGATGACTGTGAAGAGTTCAGCACCATTTGTGACACCACAAATACTGCAGCAGTCCATATCATGTGTGTATTAATTAGAAGTCAAGCAGACTATTCTGTTTTCCAAAACTGTTCCACCATTTAATAAGGTCATGGTCAATCTGATTACTCCACATTGCCAACTATTGGGGATAACTTTTCATCCTCTTACTTATCAAGAATCTATTATTGATTTCATTGCATCATTAGCAGAAAGACCTACACAACATTCAGGCTTGGGCTGATAAATGGCAAATAGCATTCAGACCAGGCAAGTGTAGTCTAATAAACATCCCTAACAATAGAAAATGTAAGGATCTCCCCCTTGATATTCAGTGCCATTACCATCACATAATCACCCACCATCAACAATTTAGAGATTGCTGTGAACCAAAGAATTAACTATGTTAGCTATATAAATGCTATGGTTACAAGAGTAGATCAGAGACTGAGAATTTGGCTGTGACACACGTAATTGATGGCCAGTCTTTGGCAGTCAAGCAAAGACATTACAATCAGGCATGCAATGGAATGGTCTTCACCATGAGACTATAAGAATATAGGAGCATAATTATACCATTCAGCCTAACTCTGCTCCGCCATTTGATCATGGCTGTTATGTTTCTCAACCCCATTCTCTGCTTACTCCCTATCACGCTTCATTGCCTTGCTAATCAAGAACCTATCTGTCTCTGTCTTAATGACTTGGCCTCCACAACCCTCTGCAGCAATTCACCATCCTCTGGCTGAAGTAATTCCTCCTCAGTTCAGTTCTAAAGAGAAGTCCCTTCACTCTGAGGCTGTGCCCTCAGTTCCCAGTCTCTCCTATCAACGGAAACATCTTCTTGACTTCCACTCTATCCAGGCCTTTCAGTTATCTATAACTTTCAATGAGATTCCCCCCTCATCCTTCTAAACTCCATCAAGCACAGACCAAGAATGATCAACCGCTCCTGTTATGATAAACTCTTCATCCCTGAGATTATTTTTGTGAACCTCCTCTGAAACCCCTCCAATGCCAACACATCCTTCCTGAGTTACAGGGTCCAAAACTGCTCATAATATTCCAAAAACAGTCTAATCAGAGCCTAATACAGCCTCAATGATGCATCTCTGCCCTTGTATTTGAGCCCTCTTGAAATGAATGCTAAGATTGCATTTGCCTTCCTAACAGTCAAATGAACCTGCATATTAACCTTAACAGAATCATGAACTAGGACTCCCAAGTCCCTTTGTGCATCAGATTTCCAAAGCCTTCTCCATTTAGAAAATACACCTCTATTTTTCTTACTAAAGTGCCTCTCCCAATATCGTATTCCATCTGCCACTGGTTTGTCCACTCTCCTAGCCTGCTCAAGTCCTTCTGCAGCTTCCCCACTTCCTTAACACTACCTGTCCCTCCACCTTTGTGCCATCTGCAAACTTAGCAACAATGCCCTCACTTCTTTTGTTCAGATCATTAATGTAAAAGATGAATAGTTGTGGTCCCAACACAGACCTCTGCAGAACTCCACAAGTCACCGCTGCCATCAAGAAAGACCCTTATGTCCATACTCTCTACAGTCTGCCAGTCAGCGAATCCTCTATCCATGCCAGCACCTTGACCCTCTTATCTGATTTAGCAGTCTCCTGTGACATCTTGTCAAAGTCTTTTTGAAAATCCAAATAGATCATGCCCACTGCCCCTCATTTGTCTAATTTGCTCGTTACCTCCTCAAAGAAACAGGTCCTTCAGCCCAACTCGTCCGCACTGACACTCAAAGCATCCCACCCAGACCCATCACCCTAATCTACACATCCCTGAACACTACGGGCAATTTAGCATGGCCAATCCACCTAGCCTACACATCTTTGGACTGTAGGAGGAAATCCACACAGACACGGGGAGAATGTGCAAACTCCACACAGACAGTTGACCGAGGGTGGAATCGGAACCAGGTCCCTGGCGCTGTGAGGCTGCAGTGCTAACCACTGAGCCACTGTGCTGCCCGAAATCCTAACAGATTTGTCAACCATGACTTCCCCTTGATGAAGCCGTGCTCAGCCCTATTTTATGCTTTTCCAAGCATTCTGCAATCTAATCCTGAACAATAGATTCTAAAATCTTATCAATGACCAACATCAGGCTAACCAGTCTATGGTTTCCGATCTTCTGCTTCCCTCCCTTCTTAAACAAGGGTGCTACATTAGCCATTTTCCAGACCTCTGGGACCCTTCCTGACTCCAGTAATTCCTCTACAATCTCCTCCAGAACTCTAGCATGAAGTTCATCTCGTTCAGGTGATTTATCCAACTTCAGACATTACAGCTGCCCCAGCACCTTCTTCTGAGTGATTGCTACTATATTCATCTCTGTCTCCTGAGTATCTTGAAGTTCTGGTAAGCTGCAGGTATCTTCAACTGAAGACTGGTGCAATGTACCTATTCAATTCCTCCATCATTTCTTTTTACCCTGTTGCTAAATCTCCAGCCCCATTTTCCAGTGGCCCAAAGTCCACTTTTGCCTCTCTCACTGTTTAGATATCTAAAGAACCTTGCCATCTTTTATATTACGAGCTAGCTTACTCTCACATTTCATCTTCTCTCTGCTATTGATTTTTTTTAAAAGTTATCCTCTGCTGGTTTTTACCGCATAGTATAAAAGCAAAAGAAAAGCATACAATTTCTGGTTTCCTTTGTCAGCTATTGTTGCCTCATCTTCGCCCCAGTTCTTCCTTCTTGGGATGAGTCGCTGCTGTTCCTCCCAAATTACTCCCAGAAACTCCTGCCAGTGTTGCTCCACTGTGTTCCTTGCTTAGCTCCCTTTTCAAACAACTTTGGTCAGCTCCTCTCTCCTGTCTTTATATTTACCCTTAATCAATTATAATACTATTACATCGGATTCCAGCTTCTCCCTCTCAAATCACAATGGGTTCCACCAGCTTCCATATCATGCAGTTACATCACCTGGCTCAGTATTTTTATTTGAATTACTTAGTTCTTAATTTGGTTTTTAAAAATTTCACACATCTTTTAGTTTGTAACCTGTATATATTTCCCCTATTAACCTTCAATCTGAAAGTAACCTATAGTAGTAAAATAGTCCAAAGATGTGCAGGTTATGTGGATTGGCTATGTTAAATTGCCCAGAGTCCAGGGATATACAGACTAGGTGGATTAGCCATGATAAATACAGGGATTACAGAGATGGGGTGGATCTTGGTGGGATGCTCTTCGGAGGGCTGTGCAGACTTGATGGGCCGCATGGCCTTTTTCTGCACTGTAGGGATTCTATGAAATTAGTAGATATCTCCAACCAATGAACTTACAGTTTTCCTGTGACATGACTTTTGTCCTGGGCCCCCAATTTATCCCAGGCTGTGTCTCACTCTGGATGTGATCTCTCCTTCCTGACAATACAAAGATTATCAAATGTGTGCTTTCAACAGACCTTCTCTATTGTCTGGATGACCTTCATCTTCTCTCTGCTTATTGATTTTGTTTTAGTTATCGTCTGCTGGTTTTTAAACACTTTTGACCCCATTGCTGAAATCTAGCAGCTTGCTTCTCAACAACACAGCTTGCATTCAGCTACCTTGTCTACAACAGTTCAAAAAAGCTGCTCACCGTCAGGACATACAAACAAGCAATAAATAGTTGCCTTGCCAACAACACCATATCGCAGTGAAAAGTACTACCTCCGGAACTCTGTAAAATAACTCCACTCTCAAATGCTTTCTCTTATCTAAAACTTAAAATTTTCAAAACTTTGGTTTCTCTTAATCTATCTTTTATTCCTCATGTCAATACCTGTCCCCATCTATTTCCAACTCAACACTTTACAACTACAAAAGTATTATGTAAATTACTTTAAATTTTTAAAAATCGGGTTAAATGTCAATGCCCTTCTCTTCTACCTCATTAGATACTTAAGTTTTACAAAGCAATGTTCATTATTTAAGGATATAATGTATATGTTGTACATTACTACACATGTAGAAGTTTGATTATAAATGACTGACATAACACACAGCAAGCAGCCAAGTTTAATTAAACATAAGAAACTGGTTTGAAATTCAAGCTACATTTTACATTGAGTGTTTAACTTACATCAGGAAGTATGTTTACTTTACCACTCTTCATAAGTGAAACCATGAAACTAAATAACTTACTCAGAGAAGATGCAGAAGTAGCAAATCAGTTCACAAATTTAATTCAGAAATGCTGAGATTGCAAGGCTTTATTAGATCAGTCTATTATGAAAACCTTATTCACTGCAAACATAGCAACAGATTTATTAAAGTATTTGCATAGAACAAAATTCAATGTAGATCAATACACAATACATCATTTCTACAAGTGGACCTGACTGTATAATAAACTTG